TGGCCCCCCAGACTCTCTATTAGCCCAAAACTAAAACCATTCCCAAGGCCAACTCTGCAGAAAAGATTAGACTGGACTATGGGAGATAAAATGATACTCGTGAAGAGCGTGCTTCTTAGCTCAAGTAGATACATGAGACTAAATGGGCAGCTCCTGTCCAGAGGTGAGATGAGAAGTCAGAGAGAGTCAGCAGCTGGTTGAATGGACACGGGAAACCTGGGGTGGAAAGGAGGAATGTGCTGTCACAGTATAGGGAGAGCAATTAGGGTCACATAACACTGTATGTATAAATTTTTGTATGAGAGAGTAACTTGAATTGTAAACTTTCACTTAAAGCAGAACAATTAAAAAAAAAAAAAAAAGATCAGGAATCAGCCAGGGGAAGTGGCAGGAGGAGGTCATTCTAGCCAGATGGAACCACATAAGCATGGTAGGAAGACAAGACACAGTTTCATGAGCATGGGGAGAACTACAGGCAATTCCTATTGCTGGAGCATAAATAATGAGGCCAGGGCAGGTGAAGAATGAGGCTGAAGAGGTAGGTATGTGCCAAACCTGAATCTTGGGTGTTATACTGAGGAGTTGGGACTGTACCCTGTGGTTTGTGGAAAGCCGCTGAAGGATTATGATGAGAAGAGGAACGAGGTCAGATTTGTGATTTGGTAACAGTGTGGACCACTTACCACCTGTCTGTCAGTTTGTCACATTGTGGTGGCTTGCCTATTGCTATGATGCTGGAATTTATGCCACTGGTATTTCAAATACCAGCAGGGTCACCCATGGGGAACAAGTTTCAGCCGAGTGTCCAGACTAAGACAGACTAGGAGGAAAGCCTGGCAAACTACTTCTAAAAATTAGCCAATGAAAACCCTATGGATCACAACAGAATATTTTCCAATATAGTGCTGGAAGAAGAGCCCCCTATGTTGGAAGATACTCAAAATACACAGTGATCACAATAATAGACTCAAGCATACCAACAATTGTGAAGATGGCACAGGACGGAGCAACATTTTGTTTTGTTGTAACCTGAGTTATCATGAGTCAGAGCTGACTCTATGGCAGCTAACAACAACAGTGTGGAAAATGGATTTGAGAGGGATAGGTTAAAAAAAAAGAGTCTTTTGAGCCTGGAGGAAAGAGGAGACAATGGGTGTGGCTGTGGCTATATTTGTAGGTTGGTTGTTGGGTAACAAGTTAATGTTGATTTAACTGCCTCAGTTTTCTTAAGGAAGTTCCAGGCTATCTGCTTGGCTCTGATGGGGAGCAGATGACTTTGGGAAGAGGATCTAGAGTACTCATTGAGGACAGTGGAAGAGGGAACTGAGTCAGGATAAGTGAAAAGATGGCCCAGTGGGAGATGTATTAGTTTGCTTTGGCTGCTATAATAAATTACACAATTAACCACAAATTTAGTGGTTAAGTCAACACAGGTTTATAATCCTGTATGCCGAAGGTCAACATGGGTCTCACTGGCCTAAAAATCAAGATGTCTTCAGGGATGAGTTCCTTTCTGGAAGCTGTAGGGGAAAATCTGTTTCCTTGCCTTTTCCAGATTGGAGAGGCCACCCACATTCTTTGACTTGTGGCCCCCTTCCTCCTTAAATGCCAGCAATAGCGGAGTGAGTCCTTCTCACATTACATCACTCTGACCCTCTCTTCTGCCTCCCTCTTCCACTTTTAAGGACATTTGTGATTACACTGGGCCCACCTGGACAGTCCAAGATAATCTCCCTATTTTAAGGTCACGTGGTTAGCAACCTTAATTCCACCTGCAACCTGCAGGGGCAGGTGGAAACCCTATTGGGCAGTTCTGCGCTGTCCTATAGATGTTCTCATTGAAGGTCGAGAGGGTATTCTGCAAGCCTGTATCTTATTTTGCCTCTTGCTATTGAACTTCTTCCTGGACGTGTGGGCTTGGCACATCTTGAGCTAAGTTATGCAGAGGAACTGGCAGACTAATGGTTTTTTAATCACAAATATTAATTGAACTGGATTCTCCACACAAAGGGTTGGAGGAGGTGCACATGTCCCCACCCTTAAGGAGCTGGCAATCTAGTATTCATTGTTTCAGAGAGGACTTAAGGAGATAGATTTTGCTATGCTATAGGATGATGATGAATCTTTTTAATCTTACTTTTTGAGTTAATTTTTTCTTTAACCACTCAGCTCTGGAGAGAATGCCAGGAGCTCTCAGCTAATTCTATTCAATAGGTCTTCTCCATATCTCACTTCTGGGAATTATGTTCAGTTTTTTTTTTTTTTTTGGTTTTGTTTTGGTTTTTTAAGATATACTGTTTCTAAATTGGGAAAACCATCTGATGCATTCCCAAACCCGTCGCCAACTGAAGCCTCTTCCCAAAGAGCACTCACTCTTCCCAAAACCTCGCCGACTACTACATGGCTTGTCAGCAATCCCTTGGTTGATTCCCAAAGCTCAATCCAATTCAGGATGAGTCAGCAGTGAGGTGTAGCACACAGAAGGCTTGGCAGGGGATCCAGAGGTAGGTGAGTGGTAAGGTCTCTGCTGTGTCTACCCCTGACTTGCTGTGACTGATCTTTAACCAGCCATCCACTTCAATGTCTTCGTTTGCACCAGAGAGAAGCAGACTACTCTTGCTACTCAAAGTATGGCCCATAGACCATCAGTGTGGGCATTACCTGGAAACTTGTTAGAAATACAGAGCCCCAGGCCCCATCCCAGACCTTCTGATTCAGAATCTACATTTTAATAAGCTCCCCGGAGTCTTCATATGCACATTCAAGTTTAAGAAGCACTGGGATAGATAGCTTTTTGATCCTCTGATTTCTAAAATACATGCCAACAACCTGAATCCCCCTCTCACTGCTTCCCTCCCTCCCCCAGGGATGTATAGGATAGTGATGAGACTTGGGTTTGAATCCTAGCACCCAACATACTAGCTCTATGACTTGGACAATTTGCTTCATCTATCTAGCCATCAAAACAGTGAGGTGGTTCTCCAGATTAATGAAAATGTAGGTAAAATGCCCAGCATGCACACAACTCTAAACCAACTTTTCATAGCCCCATTATAGGGGAAATCTAAAGTGAGGCACAAAAGCCCAGACTGCTAAGAGTGGAATCAGCTGTTTCACTGTAGCTTAACTGTAGGAAAATAATAATATACTTTTTTTTGAAATAATATTTTATTGTGTTTTCAGTGAAGGTTTACACAGCAGTTTAGGTACCCATTCAACAATTTCTACACAAGTTGTTCAGTGACATTGTTATACTCTTCACAATACATGAACATCCTCATTATTTCCCTTCTGGTTGTTCTGTTTCCAGTAATCTAGTTTCCCTGTCTCCTCACATTCTCATCTTTGTTTTAAAGTAATCATTGACCATTTGGTCTCAGGCAGGTGATTTTTTTAGAGGAGCATAGTACTTATGGGTGATACTATTTTTTGAGGAATTTGTTATTTAGCTACAAGGTGACCTCAGGGGTTAGCTTTGGTTCAAGGTTTGAAGAGATAATCTCAGGGCAGTAATCTCAGGAAGTCCTCCAGTCTTAACCAGTCCAGTAGCTCTGGGGATTTTTTGTTTTTGCTTTTTTTTTTTATTTAAGGAATTTGAGGTTCTGTTCCACATTCTTCTCCCATTCTATCAAGGTCCATCTAATGTGGCCCTGATTAAAACCGTCAGTTGTGGTAATCAGGCCCCATTTAATTCTTTTTTTTAAATTTTTATTGCATTGGGTATAAGTTCACAGAGCAAATCAGTTTTGCATTCGATAGTTTGTACATAAAGTGGTTCGTTGCCTTGGTTTCATTCCCCACAAAGTGCCAGCACTCTCCCCCATTTCTGCCCTGGGTTCCCTGGTATTCTTTTGTCCTGATTTTCCACTGCCTTCTCATCTTTGCTTTTGGGCAATTGTTGCCCTTTTGATCTCGCATAATAGATTGTTCTAAGGAATGTGATCCTCTGGGGTGTTATTGTTTATTTTATGGGTTTGTCTATGGTTTGGCTGAAAGGTGGTCCCTGGCAATGGCTTCAGTTCAGAAGGGTGTCTTAGAGCCATAGTCTCAGGGGTTCCTCCAGTCTCCGTCAAACCAGTAAGTCTCGTTTTTTGTGAATTTGATTTTTGGTTCTACAATTTTTCTCTCACACTGTCCGGGATCCTCTGTTGTGATCCCAGTCAGAGTAGTTGGTTTAATACACTTTTATCCAGAATTCTTAAACATTTTTTTTTATTTGAAACCAAGCAGAAATCAGATTCTGTTGGCTGGCGTTCCTTGCAACCTTTCCAAGCTCTGGAAATATTCATCCTCCCAATTCCCAACTTTTCTCCCCAGATCGCAGTTGGGAAAACTAGGTAAACAAAAAGCTATTTAGTTGCTGGGCTTCACCGCAGCAAGACCACACCTTTGGGCTCCAACTGCATGGAAAACCAGGAAGTTCTGCCCACCTCGCATCTCAAAACACCGTTCGCAGGAGTCTCTACCTCCTTCGGGCGAAAAGAGGCGGGAGGCGTGGTTCAAACCAAAAACCAAACCCGTTGCCGTCCAGTTGATTCCGACACATAGCGACCCTACAGGACGGGGTAGAACTGCCCCTAGGGTTTCCAAGGAGCGGCTGGTAGATTCGAAGTGCCATCCTTCCGGTTACCAGCCCAGCTCTTAACCACTGTACAACCAGGGCTCCGGGAGGCGTGGCTAGTACCGTGAAAATGTGCGGCCATTTTATTCTGGGTGTCTCAGTTCCTCGCCGGAAATTAAAGATCAGGGCACAAATCTGGACGATACCATTCTTTGACTCGAGTACTGTATCCAAATTTGAGACATTTGTAGGGACGTTTATAGTAAATTAAGCCCCCAGAACCATTTTTACATTTATATTATATAATACTGTCAAAACCTGAGTACATAAAGTGGGATTTGGGGCAAGTTATTTCGTTTTCCTCTCTCCACTTCGGTCCTTCACTACTTAGGCTCGTTTGTACATCACTTCCGGGAATCCGGCGCTGGATTACGGAAGACGCACGCGCTCGTCAGAGAAGGCTTGTCCGAGTGCTCTGTTGTTATGGGCCGGAGGAAAGCGACGGGTGGTGGGTCCCTCGGCCGGACCCTTATCCGCCGTAAGAATCTGCAGAGCCGTAGCCAGCGTCACACCGACTCCTGGGTAAGACAGTCCCTGTCTTGTTTCTTATCCTTTTTGTCTAGTTACGAGATCCCGAGCTGCGAAGTTTGGGGTCAGAGATCACCGGGAAGTTTTCCAGAGGAGGTGACGCCAAGCTGGGTATCGAAGGATAGGTAGGGGTTTCTGCCATATAGAAGCAGATGCGCGTTCCAGCAAGGCACAGAGCACAGGTAGAGGCGTGGAAGGGCTGGGGTGAGATCATGAAGAGGCTTGATTGCCGAGGTGGTACTTTTGGTCTCTGCCTTGTAGGCCATGGGCGCTCCTAGAAGTTTCTGAGCAGCAAAGAGACAAAATTATCTTTCGTATTAATTTGCTCAAAGAATTGACCTTCCAACAGCAACTGGTTGGTGCCAGAAATACAAGATAACTCAAGATTCCCTGCTTTACCCTTATTATTCCCGTAGTGGTTTGGCTCAATGATGAATCCTTCATGTATAGAAATGTGGCTGGACCAGTTCATTTTCCCTTGGCCTGTGAAAGGTCATAGTTGTAGGATCCTTGAAAAATGAGTGGTTTGACTTGGACTTGTGATTCCAGTGGTTATTTTTCCCCTTCATTCCCCCAGGTGGGTGAGAACTCACTGTGTTCTCAGTAGGATCCTGTGCTGAAGCCCAGATATCCCTGGTGCTAACTACACATGTGTATATAATTGTGCATGTCTTGCTGTCATATCATCTGCAGAGTAGCAGCGTACGGGGTCATCAATATTCATCAGGTCAGAGTTACTCTGGGTATTAGATTACTGGTCATTTTAATTGATTCTGAAGTAACCTGTTATTAACATAGCCTTTAGGAGGTACCAGGAAGACTGAATATGCATTCCATTCCTTATTCTGGTTTTTGCTGATTCTGTGATCCACTAACTTTTTGATCTACAGTTTTTTCATGTGCTTGGTGGGGGTTGTTTATATCTGTAGTAAGCATATAGATTAGGGTGGTGTTTATCAAGCTGTGGATTGTATCTGGAAAATCAATTTGTAGATAGCAACTAGCATTTTTTAATCCAACAGGATAAAATTAAAAGAAAAAAAGGCAAAAAACAGTGTATTACATGTAATAAGGTAAGTTTTGTTTCAGGATTCTTTTTTTTTTTCCTCCTTTTTACTCTACAAGTGGTACACTAATGTTTCTATCATTGTGTAAACTGTATGCTTACTGTGGGTCTCCATCCAAAAACTTTAACTAATGCTGACTCTTGGTAGTCAGGCAGTCTGGATTCAAATTCTACCTCTATCACTTATTAGTTTGTGACTATAGACAAGTTATTTTATCTATTTAAGCCTCAATTTTCTCATTAGTAAAAAGAGATATAATAAAATTCACTTCAAAAGAATTTGAAAGTGAAATGAGATAATGAATTAACGAGGTAATGAACTTGCTTACCTAGCATGAGGTAAGCAAGTGCTCATCTACTTTTATTAGTACAGACTCTAAAAGGCTGACATCACCTTATCATTTAATAGTTACATGGAAGTTTGTAGCTTGTTGGGTGTCAAGAGCGAAAGAGAGCAGCTGTATTTATTACTTGCGTTTAATTCATAGGTGCACACAGCTGAACTCAGTGATGGCTATGATTGGGGTCGTCTTAATCTTCAATCAGTGACTGAACAAAGCTCCCTTGATGACTTCCTTGCAACTGCAGAACTTGCAGGAACAGAGTTTGTGGCTGGTAAGTTGTCTGCTGCTGAGTGCATATACATTTCCATCTTTGCTGAATAGATAACAAACAAGTCTACTTGGAAGTGTTTTGAGGACCCTACTGAACTCATAAATGGCTTGTCATTAACCCAAAGACAATTGTCCTAGAAGCAGTACGGGAAGGTCCAGTCATAGTTTTAAAATTAACCTCCAGAAGCACTTCAGATTATTACTGCATCATATCAAGTTCAAGAAACTCACTCCATCATCGAAAAAAGATTGGTCAGTATTATGATGGACAGTACCAGCATTCTCCAGAAAATGTTTCCTTATACCATTGTTAAAGACAGACTCCTGAGCTACCTACTGTTACTTAGGCGATCAGGATTATATTTGAAGCACTAATCAACATATTGGAGCCCTGGTAGTACAGTGGTTAAGAGCTTGGCTGCAAACCAAAAGGTCAGCAGTTCGAATCCACCAGCCGCTGTTTGGAAACCCTGTGGAGCAGTTCTACTCTGTCCTATAGGATCACTGAGTTGGAATCGACTCGATGGCAGAGGGTTTAAATCAACATATTACGGGGATTTTTCTATGCATATAATTTGCTTTAGTCACTGCTGTCCGTTGTCTTTTTGTATTTGTCTTCTAAGCTCTTTAAACAGTACCTGGCACACAGATAGCATTATAGGCTATTATTATTATTATACTGTTCTTGTCATTGTTATAAATGTTTATTACATTATTTAGCAAAGCATTCATTTGTTCAAAATGTTTTCATTGAACACCAACTAATCTCAGGCAAAAACCCAGTTACTGTCAAGTTGATTCTAACTCGTGGCGACCCCATGTGTGTCAGAGTAAAACTATGCTCCATAGGGTTTTCATTGGCTGATTTTTCAGAAGTGGGTTGCCAGACTTTTCTTCCAAGGTGTCTCTGGGTGGACTCGAATCTCCAACCTTTTAGTTAGTAGCTGAACGGGTTAGCCGTTTGCGTCACCCAAAGACTTCACTCTTGAACATTGGATTGGATATTAGAAGTATGGTGATGAATAAGACAGTTTCTATAATATTTTGTTTTAGGTGCCATGAAAGAAATCTGTAGCGTACAATGGGGTCATAAAGGATGGAGTTAGCATTCATTTCTGTGTAAAGAAAGACTAGGACCAGTTAGGAAAGACTTCACAGAGGCTACCACTCTGGGACTGAGTTTTAAAAGATAAGTAGAGGTTGGAAGGGCAAGTAAGCTTGTACAGGACACGACAAATAGGCCAGCAGAGGACCTAACCCCAGATGTCAAGAAGCAGCAGCCTTGTTCAGAGAATGCCTGGAAGTTTGGCCTCACTGGTGCTTAAGGTACAAGGGTGAACCAGTTGCTGTGGAATCGGTTCTGACTAAAGGCAACCCTGTGCGTGTCAGATAGAACTGGGCGCCACAGGTTTTTCAGTAGCTGATTTTTCAGAAGTAGATTACCAGGCCTTTCTTCCAAGGTGCCACTGGGTGGATTTGAACCTCCAGCCTTTCGAGTAGGGGAGAGGAACAGGTAGTGACTGCTAATGGGTATGAGACTTCTTTTTGGAGTAATGATATGTTTTAAAGTTGCTTGTGGTGATGGCTGCACAACTTTGTGAGTATACTGAAAACCAGTGAATTCTATGCTTTAATTGGGCGAATTGTACGGTATATAGTTTATGTCTCAATAATGCTGTTTAGAAGACGTCAGTAATCTGCCAGAGCAGGTTTAGTAGACTGGTGGAGCCACGATTGTAGGAAGTTAAATAGGGAGAGGGAGGTGAGGACATCGAGTCGGTGGGCATGTTGTGTCTTTTGAGATATGTGAGTGTAGCAGGGCAAGAGAGAGAAGGGGTGTGTGTGTGTGTGTGTGTGTGTGTACACAGAAGGAGGATCAAGGTTAGTATTAGCATTTTCAGAGGTTTGGGAGAAGGGGTGTGTGTGTGTGTACACTGAAGGAGGATCAAGGTTAGTATTAGCATGTTCATAGGTTTGGTAGAAGGTGTGTGTAGACAGGAGGAGGATCAGGGTTAGTATTAACATGTTCGTTGGTTAGGGTGAGAGCCAGTACAGAGGGAGAGGTTGAAAATACAACACGTGGTGTGGCAGTAGCTATTAAAAACGTAAAGGGCATATCCTGTGAACCCAGCATTTCCCCTTCGCAGTATCTACCCTAGAGCAGTGGTTCTCAGACTTGAGTGAGCTTGAGAATTACCTGGAGAATGTGTTAATATGTGGACTGCTGCATCCCTCCTGCAGAGATTCTGATTCAGTAACTCTGAGATGGAGCCTGGGAATTTGCATTTCTAACAAGTTCCCAGATGCTCCTGCTGTTTTTGCCCCGGAGGGACACCCGTGTGCTCAGGAACGTACACCAGAATCGTGCATACAGCACGGTTTTACACAGAAAAGCTTGAAAACAACCTACATGTTCAAAAGATGGAAAATGGCGAATTTAACTGCGTTATAGACGCACAGTGAGATGATACGCTGCAGTTAAAAAGAATGAGAATGAGGTAGATCTCTGTGGACTGATGTGAAGGATCTCCAAGACCTTTTACCAAATAAAAAGACCAAGTTGCACAATGGTGCTTCTAGAATGGTATCGTTTGCATTAGAAAAAATCTCACTAATCCATATACCATAAAACCTGCAAAAGCCGGAACCTGTGTAAGGCAGCCTGTCAGAGAAGAAAACGCAAATGTTTTACACTAAAACAACCCATAGAAAAGTGGTAAGACCGCACCCCATCAAAGGCGGAAACTTGCAAGACCGAGAAAAACAGGGCAGTCCCGTCAAGTTCCCGCTCTCACAGGTTTCACTGTATGTGAACATGACTGTTAGCAAAAAGACGTGGAAGGCCGCCCGCTTGGATAATAAGCTCAAGGGAGGGAACTAGAATTCTTTCTTTTCTCCTTTTTCGGAGGGGAGGGGTGGTGAGGGGAACGAGAGGATGGAAAACTTCATTTGCAAATTATAATTTATGCAAAATGAGAAGAATCTAAATCAGGAGAGCTTAAATACTGTTTTAGGCTCTTATACTTAGTTTTTCAAGTTTATCAAAATGACCAACATTCGGTATCTGTTTTGCCTCTTAAGTAATCTTGCCTTTTTTTTTTTCCTACAAACAGAAAAGCTTAATATTAAGTTCGTGCCTCGTGAGGCTAGGACTGGACTGCTGTCTTTTGAGGAGAGCCAGAGAATTAAGAAACTCCAGGAAGAAAACAAAGAGTTCTTGTGCATACCAAGGAGGTGAGCCGTAGAAGAATTTAGAATATTACAAGCATAACAAGGCCGCTGAGTATAAAATTTTTAAGTTGGTGTTTCCTTTTTGCCTGCTTCATCTCCTCAGCTGCCAGTGTTAAATATGAATCCCCTGTTTTATTTTGGTAACCCATATGTGGAATTTTTTCCCCTCTACTATCGTTTCAGACCAAACTGGGACAAACAAACTAGTCCCGAAGAACTCAAACAGGCAGAGAGAGAGAACTTTCTGGAATGGAGGCGCCAGCTTGTCCGGTGAGTGTTGAACTATATGACGATTTGCCTTGAAATCCTGTGCGCGGGCATTTCAGTGTGTTTGCCATCTGCGTTTTGAAATCTGTGTTCTTTTAAAAGGGAAATGGTAGCTTTTTATAAGTGCAGATTGGCTTGTGGGTGCATGTGCATACTTGCACAGAGGCGGCGAGTTGGTTACTCTCTTCAGTTCTGGCCTTTTTCCTTTCATTCCCTTCTCCGGCTCCTCGCATCCTGGAGTTGGTCACTGCTCTCCTGACGGTTCTTCTGGGGAGAAGTGTGGGAGAGAAATGGGACTTTGTGTGACAGATAAACTCCAGGGCTTCAGTAGCTTAGGAGAAAGTTTGAATGAATTTGGTGTATTGTGGTATGAAATAAATTTTATTTTCATGTTAACTCACCAGAAGGTATATAAAAATAACTTGTCAGTTAATATTCGTGTACTTTTTAATGCAATGAATGTGAGCATTTGTCCTGTTTGAAACCTTCTGTTATAATCTGGTAAAGGTATAAACTTTCCATTCTAAAGCCAGGCTGGAAGAGGAACAGAAGCTCATACTGACTCCGTTTGAAAGAAATTTGGACTTTTGGCGCCAGCTCTGGAGGGTCATTGAGAGAAGGTATGTTAACATTTTCTTTTTGTGTCGTGAGAACATTGTAGTTATGTTATATTATATTTGGGTGTTAATATATGCTTATAGGCCCACGTTTTGGGGGAATAATTGAGCTGTGCAAAAGGCCATTGAGAATTATTATAGAACCAAATATAGTACTGTATTTCTTTTTTAGGAGCCCTGGTGTCACAATGGTAAAGCACTCAGCTGCTAACCGTAAGGTCAGCAGTTCAAACCCACCAGCAGTGCTGCAGGAGAAAAGACCTGGCAATATGCTTCCATAAAAATTACAGCCTAGGAAATCCTATGGGGCAGCTCTGCTCTGTCCTTAGGGATGCTGTGAGTTAGAACTGACTCAACAGCAAACTACAATTTCTTTTTTAAATGTAGTTTTTTTTTGTAATTAGACAGTCATTGATAAGTGTGTGAAAACGGTGAACATTTTCTGTAGGATGAGTTCTGAAGCACATATACTTATTTCATCAAATGTATATTGAGTTCTCACTGGTAATGTGGGAAATTGGTATGAAAAAGGGAAGTTCCTACCTGCCAAGAGCACGTAAGTTACGGGCAAGGCGGATAGCAACGTTCAGTTCAGCAGATTTTCACGGAGTTCAGCTCAGGGCCACGCACAGCGCTGGTACCAGAGGCACACGGATGCGCGAGGTGCAGTCCTCGCGGTCGGGGAACTCGATGTCTGGTACAGTGCATAGCAGAGGATGATTCCTGCTGGGTTGGGAGTAGAAAGGCAGCGTGCCGCATGTCATGGCAGAGGAAGGAGCAGTGTGATAAGGACTGAGGGGAATCAAGGGGCGTTTTTTTTTTTTTTTTTAAATTGGACTTTGAGAGGAAGAGAGTGATTTGGACAGATTGAGAATGGGAGATTTTGTCTGTTTCCCGCATGTAATTCTAATGAGAATCTCTGATTGTTAGAAGAGTGTTATTGTTGGATCAGCATTCTCTACTCAGACTTTCCCCCCAAATACCCCTTACTTGAGTCCCATGCCTCACCCTTGCCTTCAGAGCTGTCTGATACTCCTAATCCTGAGTCTTCTGGCTCATTCTGGGGTATGAATGGGCTTGCTTCTCTTGGTATCCCCCTCTGCAAATACTTGGTATTCAGCTTCTTGATTCTGCTGAGTCTTCCATCTGATTTCCATCTTTCAAAAGTGGGTTCACATTTCTTATTTGCTGCTGTTTTCCCTTTCTCTTTGTCCTAATGGGTTTCAGCCTTTACTTTCATTTTAGTAGGTTTTAAGAAGGAGCAGAGGTAACCTATGTGTTCAGTCTTCCATGTTTAACAGGAAGGCCCTTTGCACATTTTTTCTGCCCCTGTATAGGCGTTGGTTTCATCAGAGTGAGCATGTACTTGTTGAAAGCTCCAGCTTCTGTTGGATTGTAGTATTTACCCACTCCGTTATTTGTGTTATGTGATATTTCCCCCTTTTACGACTGAATATGTTTGTTATTCAAGGAATATTGTTTATATTGCATGGAAGTGAATCTAAGTCACATAGAAATGTTATTAATGAAGTGATGACTGCCACATCTTTTAACAGAAATATTTATTGATGTCTTCTCTATAGCAGATGTCTACTGTTTGGTAACAGGCTAACTAAGCCATCTGCTTCTTTAATTTCAATGGGAGTTATCAGAAAAGATTTCATGTGTAACACGTCATTGAAATGCAGGAAACGGCCAAGGCACTGAAGCCAGAACGCTGTATTCTAGGAAGATAAGGCACTTCCATTGTATTGCACAAACCCTTCCTGGTACACAGTTGGCACTTTGCACTGCATCCTAATTCAGCACATGCAGCAAGCAAGCTGTTTTGCAATGTCTTTTCTTACTGGTGTTTGTTTCTAAGTTAACTCTCTCTACATGTTGGCTAGGCAGGTATAATGTCTGAACCTTGTGGCTTTGATTTATTATTATTAGACTTTCTCTGCATTTACTGTTGAATCTTCACAGGTTGAAAGTGGCAAATATCACTTTAAAGAAGGAAATATTGGGGCCCACTTAATTAGAGGACTTAAAAAAAGTTAGCAAGTCTGTGAGTTCCTTTGAATTACAAGATCATGCTGAAAATTTAACTATTCTGAAAAGAAAATACACTTTAATTGGCAAAAGCCCTGATTTAAGGCATCTCCTTGGTGTTTAGCATAGTTGCAGTGTTACCCCAGAAAAAGCTGGTTCACCAAGTGTGAGTTTTTGGAAGATGCTGCTGTTAGGCAGTAGTACTTCTGCATCTTATTTCCTTCCAGTGTTAGTCACAGCTGGCCCTCCTGACACCTTCCCTAGCCTTCCCAGAGGCTGGAGGAAGGGAAGTGGAATCTTTACTCTGCCTGCCATGCTGGGCTGCTACTGTGTCCCAGCACATTTGTGGGGGATTTCAGGAGCTTGCCATCAGCTGCAGAAAATTTTATTGTAACATCTTAGATATGATGGAAGAAGTTGCACTCGTCATTCCTACATCAGTATGGCAGCTTAAGCTGATATTTTACTGTTTCGTATTTTTGCCATTTAAACACATTATTGAAAACACGGATGATGGTTTGCTAGGTGTATGCTTTCTCCTTCGTCAGCCCTGGGTTTAAGTAAGATAAAGACTTCCATAGTAGCAGCTGCAAACAGCTTGTTAAGCAAACAAAACAAAAAGCAGTTAAGTTTTCTTCTGAGGTCTTAACAAGAGTATAGATTAGAGACTGAATATTCAGTAGACCTTCCCTTGGATTGCCGTGTTTGGAATACTTTTTATCTCACCAGGAGAATTTAATAGAAGTTCCAGCAAGGAAATGTCATCTGAGCCCCTCTAGGCCATGGTAGAGCAGTAGGAGGTCAAGATTAAGAGCATGGCCTCTGGTCCGTGCTGCCTAGACTCACTTCCAGATCTATCGCTTACTAGCTGATGGGCAAGTTTCTTAGCTATTCTGAGTCTCAGTTTCCATATATAAACTGGGGATAATTGTACCTTAAAAAGTGAACATATGGAAAGTACGTAATACATGGAGTGTTTGCCACTACTGCTGTCAGTATATGGTCAGCCCCTTTCACTTTGACTACAGAAAGTCCAGTGGTTGATCCTGAGCTTTCTTTTACTATCTCACATTGTTTTTCAGTGATATTGTGGTCCAGATAGTAGATGCTCGAAACCCACTCCTGTTTAGATGTGAGGATTTGGTAAGTAAAGTTTGTCAAGATCCACAATTAAGTCCTTTGAGCAGAAGTGAGAGGACGACATCACTCACAGAAGTAACTCCAGGCAGCGTTCTGCCCTGTTCTCTGGCTCTGTTTAATTAGGCCCCGCTCTCCTCCCGGCGTCGGGAGCTTGCATAATGCCACTGTTTAGACAGATGTTTGCTCTCCTCAGACAGTTGTTTCTGTCTGCAGGAGGCTTAAACACTCACATGAATTTTCTGACTTAGTTTAGAAGCCACATTGCTAGGAGATATTTGCCGATGTTTCCCATTTTTCAAGAGACACCAATTGAAATAGCCTTTTACTTGTTTTAGCATGTTCCTAGTCACTTCGCTTTTTATCCATCCCGTTTAGTTCTCTTCGCACACCTCAGTTACTACTACTCATAGTGCTTTACAAGTCAACTAAGTAAAACACCAAAGGGAGCCATAACTAAGGTGTGAGAATCCCATGAGATAATGTAATACATACTTTGAGTTAATAAAACACTGTGCACGGTGTACCCTGTGGGACAGTTCTGCTCTGTCCTATAGGGTTGCTGTGAGTCAGAATTGACTTGACGGCAACGAGTTTGGGTGTGGGTTTTGTACACATGTGAAGTGTCATATTTCTGTTTGAGGACCACAGTAGTAGTAATACAAATTATTTTTAAATCCACTGGTGAATGACTGAAATTTTAATAGCGAGACTGATGAGGTCAGCTTTTATATCTCTGCTTTTTAATGAAGAGCTGTAATTGGAAATTAATTTCAGTGACTGAGTCTTGTATTCCTTTTATGGTTCAGAAATGCTTTTTACATTTAAAGATGAGATTATTATCGGCTGTCCTCACTTGACAGAAAAATAGTCCCTGCTACCTATCATATCTCCTGGTTCTGCAGTTTTTTAACTTGCTTTGAAAGAAACAATTCAGCATTATTAAGAGAGTACACTATTTAAAGGAAGATGGACCTGTTACACTTCAGCAGGCAGGAAAGCATTTCTTTTTACACTTTCCAATTTCTTATGAGTATTTGTATGTGACCTAACTCCTTTTCAAAGCTTAATGAAAGGATTAATAGAATGTACCATGATTACAAACCTTTGAATTAGGAAATCATTTAAAACTGGGAGCAGTAAAAACTTTTAGTCAGAGCTGGAGATCTTCAATAAATTAGCCTAATTTTTAATTGCTTGAAGAGGCCTTTCTAATATCTTTGTCTTGCCTAGGAATGTTATGTGAAAGAACTAGATGACCATAAGGAGAATGTTCTTTTGATAAATAAGGCAGACTTGTTGACTGCAGAGCAGCGGAGTGCCTGGGCCTCCTACTTTGAAAAAGAAGACGTGAAGGTTATTTTCTGGTCAGCTTTGGCTGAAGCCATCCTGCTGAATGGCATCCCAAAGGTAACCTGGGGACTTTCTGGGTTTCCGGGAGGAGAATTTGGTTTCTGACTATTGTGCTTTGTGTTTTGTTTTTTCTAATTGGAGACTTGTGGGGATTAGCTTTTTTTTTTTTAAAGTGTTCTGGTAGGACAACCTGCAGAAAAGTGAGTCGTAAGATTACTTCCTCTGTGGTTGTTAAATAGTCTGACATCCCCGGTGCTGTGCCAGACACTGATATTAGCTATAATTTTTAACTTTTTTTTTTATCTGAGACAGGAAGTGGTATAGGAAATTTCATAATGACCTTGTAATTTCATTTAAGGGAAGTCAGAACAAAAGGATATAACTTCTTAGGACTTGATCAGAATCGCTTTCGGCTTTGTTTTGAAAGAAAAGTAACTCTAAATTAAGATATATCAAGTTATTTTCTGTATTTTTAACCAGACTTTACAAAAACAGGAGTTTATTTTAATTTCTAATTTAAAATGTGATAACTCACTATGAAAAAAAATCAGCGATAGACTCTTCAAACTGGAAGAGACCTTAGAAGCAGTTTTTTTTTTTCCTGTCCTTCTTTCTGTTTATCTCTGTTTGTCAAATTCTGTTGTCTGGGTGCTGGGTGCTGGGTGCTATGTAACACCCTCCCCTCCACAATCAGTGGGCCCTGACCTCTGCCTCTGAAGGATTCCTTCCTCCACCTCCCTGGCTAACGGTCATCTAGTTGCTCTGTGACTACTTTAAATGATAGGGCTCTGGAAACTCAGTGAACTCATTCTTTATATCTCTAAGTTTAGGAAGTACTTATAGATAAACAGCCAGTTAACATTTAAGGGCTCTTCCTCTGCCCCCCTTAGTTCTCTCTCTGCAGACTATACATTTTCTGCTCTCATATTTGTCATAGACGTGGTCAGTCTCTGGGTTGACAGTGTATGGTTTATGGAAGATACCTTTCTTTCTTTTGAAAAGCTAGCCACCATTTGCTCCTCTCAGGTCTCCTGGAGTCTCTACTTGTCGCCGTGATTTCTAGAAAAAACATCAGCTGAGGTTGTGACATACCTATAATCACATCTATAATTTGGGTATCACATCTGAACTTCCTTTAAAATATTTTAAAGCTTCCTTGTTTTCTTGCCTGAAGGTTTAATTTTTCCTCTACAGTTGTTCAACCCTTTCTTATTTTAAAAAATGTAACTTTTTTTTTTTTAGTAGAGTGCCTCTGCTTTCTCCTGGCCATCTATTAAATTGCATTGTGTTCCCCGGGAGAATTGACCTTTCTCTCTTTATTTTTAGCATAGCTACTGCAAACTCCTTTTGTTAACTTTAACATTATTCCTGAGCCTGCTTGTAAGCCTTAGTTTTTCTAATATGAATGCATGTTCAGTTCACATTCTTGTTTTTATGCGTTTTTTGTATTTTAAAATCTGATGCAAGCGGAGCTCATAAGGAACACTGATTTCTTTACATTCGTTGGTCATTTATCATAAAAATTATTTCCCATTTTATGGTTCTATTATAAGCCATGTGTGTTTTTTGAGTTGCCAGGCATCATCATGAAACCATACCTATTTGTCCTCACGTTTTGTGTTATGTTCACTTTCCTAAAATTGAGGGTGACTGTTTGGCTGAGTTCATTGTGTCCTCCTCTTACTCATTCTAACCCTGAAGTGTTTGGAAGTAATGCAGTGTTTGGGTTGTTTCCAAATCCCAACCTATTCACTTCTATTGGTGGAGACTGAGAAGAATTAGCACACACATGAATAGTGGGTGGCTTTAACCTTTCTCTTCCCTAAGGGCTCTTTAATTGGGAAACAGTGTCCACGTGTGGAGTTGAGTTTTGTTGCTCTTACATTTCACACAGGAAGCTGTGTTTCTGTGATGCTTCATTTGTTAGAGGCAGTTACCAAAGATGAGCAATTTCCTTTAAACTTGCAAAATGCAAATGTAAATTTAAGTCAAATGACAAAGCGTTCCCTTCCTGCTTTGTGAAGAGAGGAGAATGTTAAATGTTTTATTGTTGATGAGAAATGCTTTGTTTTATTCCACACCTCATCCTAAAATAATGGACTGCCAAAGAATTCAGCTTCACCTGGAATTTTCGTCTTGTTTTCTTTAAAGACTCGTTTTAAATTGCAAAAACAATACAATATTCCAATAATACAGAAATATATAAAGAGTGAAAGTCCACCCCTCATCCCATCCCCAGAGGTCACAGCTGTTGACAGCTGGGTGTGAATCCTGGCACTGAAAGGCTTCCTACCATCTTCTCCCTGTATTCACCTTTTCCACTCTCCTTCATAACTTTTTTGTCCTCTCTTCACCCTACATATTCAACTCATGGAGTGTTTTCACTAGAGTGGAAAGTACAGTTGTTATTACACATCTGAACTTTTGTGATTTCTCTTATCTCATTAGAAGCAAGTAAATAGAGGTGCTGGAGAAACCAACACAGCTGAGTCTGAAAACTCTGATTTCGATGAGGCTGGAATTCCATACGATGAGACTGAACGTCTCCCAGGCAGGGGTTCTCCCTCACTTAGTGAAGGTGCCTCCAGTGATGAAGACGACAGTGAGTATGAGGACTGTCAGGAGGAGGAGGAAGAAGACTGGCAGACATGTTCGGAAGAAGACAGCAACTTTGAAGAGTCCCGTGGCCAGGACTGGAAGAAAAGCTGTACTGTGGATTCTGATACTCAGGACAGGAGAACCCCACAGAAGAGGCAGACACACAATTTTAGCCATCTAGTATCGAAACAGGAATTACTGGAGATCTTTAAGCAGCTACACACTGGGAAGACGGTGAAAGATGGACAACTTACTGTTGGACTGGTAAGACAGAATATGTCATAAAATTATTGCCACGGTGACAGTCTTCGTTCCCCATTGTTTAGCAGCTACACTGTGACCCCAGAGACCACTTGGGTTTCTGGCATCATAAACCAAAAACCCAAACCCATTGCCATCAAGTCGATTCTGACTCATAGCAACCCTATAGGACAGAGTAGAAATGCCCCATAGGGTTTCCAAGGAGCAGCTGGTGGATTCAAATTGCCGACCTTTTGGTTAGCAGGTGAGCTTTTAACCACTGTGCCACCAGAGGGAACATTATTGCTCTCTTGTTGCCCAGTGGCATTGTGGGAGTAGGCAGTGTGACATTCACAGCCCAATCAAAGGATGAACTTTCTCAAGGGTTATATTGATTACACTCCTGTTCATGTTAAATATCTTCACCAGGCTTCTTCCAATTCAGCATTCCCATCTTGCATATTACCAAGAGAGACTGGAATGAGGGAGCTTTTAATGTTACCTTCAGACTTCCAACCCAGTGTTCTTACCTTCTTTTGTAGGCTTCTGCTCCTCTGCCCCATATAGTCTCATCATCAACTATGTAGTCTAGCCACAACTTACTTCCTGGCCCACTATTTTCTTCTGTAGGCTTTTGGTATCCTGTGATCCTTTGTACCTGCCAGCTTATTCTCTAAATCCATATATGGGTGAATCCAACATCTTGGTCCCAGGTGCTTTAATTCCAGAAACACTATAGCATCGCTGTGAGTCGGGTTGGCTGGCAACGGGTTTTTTTTTTTGTTTTTAAGTAGGAAATAGGGGAAAGGCAATCATATCGCTAATGACATGTATCCTAATTCTAAGGTGGCTATAAAAGTGCTTCAAACCCCCAAGTGAATACAGCATGGTTCCAGATGGCTTCATCCTTAGCTAAAGAAATGTAAGATGTTCGAGAAGGTGTTTATTATAAAGATCTGCTATCTGAGAGGGAGCGGAGGAAAGGAGATCTTGGCAGGTTTAAAGTCTTCCAGCTCTGAAGTTACATGCCAAGTATAGCTCATGCTAATTCTTTTTGAGCTCCCCACCTCCTGCAATAAACCTACTCAGAGTGACTGTGTTGAGATTGACCTAGTGTACTGGTTAGAAGAGTGGTCTCTGGAGTCAGACAGACTTACATGGAATTCCCAGTCTGCAGTGAAACTAACTTACTCGCTCTCAACCTAGGGAAAGTTACTTTACTCCTCTGGATTTTAAGGCTTAATTTGGTAGATATTGCTGCTAGAAATTCCTTTTCCACATACATCAGAAAATCCAGCTACTGGACAAGTTAGTTTATTTCTTTCTCACATTTATGAGTGTGCTAGGCAGTCTCCCTCACTTTCTGAATTTCTTAACTCTGAAAAGTCTAAGTTAATTTTCTCATTCTGCAAACATTTATTGAGCACCTGCACATGCCAGGCATTCTGCTGGGCCCTAGCAGTATATCATCGGCAAGACAGACACAGAGCTTATGGCCTGCAGGGGAGGCAGACATCGAACGAGTAATTCCAAATGTGATGAGTGTAAAGAGGGGGGAGGTCTAGCACCTCACAGAAGTATATAATGTGGTAACCTGATTCAGGTGGGAATCAGGAGGGTGGCAGCAAAGCCCCACCACCACCACCAAACAGACAACATTTAAACACAGTTCACTATAAAGAGGATACAGAATTAGGGGGAGTACTTGAAGGGTATGAGACATACCCACAAATAACAATAACATGCCATGTGTTCAGGATATAAACACAAAGCATCCTGAGAATATTCCAGTTAACAGTTCTCTGAAATCTCTTTGGAGGAGGTTGTGCCTTGAAGTATAATGTGAGGTTTCGGCACGTGATAGAAAAGAAGGATGTTCCAGATAAACGACATGCAGCCATTTAAACAAAGCCCGAGAAATGTTAAAGTATTTCGGATTTATTGATCACATTGGGAGGAAAGGTGGCAGGGAGGGGGGAAGAATGGATATTGTCTCACCCTGAACCCAAGAATAATTAAAGAGCTTAGTAGCTTGTTAAGTCATTGTGCCATACTAATTTTTAGCCAGCAACATAGAAACTTGCTAATAAGTTGTTAAAAATTAAAACCAATTATATGTTATGATTATTAAAATATCTGTTTATCTGCAAACACAGAGCATCTGCTTCCATAGTGACCAGATGCTTGTGCTAGTATTGCTGCCATTTACTTAATGTCTTTGGATCTTTGATAGATGTACTGTTTGACTCTTCGTTAACTTCTGAGTCTCTTCTAGGTGGGGTACCCGAACGTTGGTAAGAGTTCAACAATCAACACCATCCTGGGCAACAAGAAAGTGTCTGTGTCTGCCACACCTGGTCACACCAAGCATTTTCAGGTATTTTTGCAGCCTTAGTCTCTATTTCCTTCTCAGCTCGTTCCTCCTGGGTATTTTCTGCAGTTCTTTGTCACTCATGTGCTGCTCTTCTTTCCCTGCATCTTCTGTATGCCTGCACAGACCTCTTCCTTGTCTTTCAGACTCTGTATGTGGAACCTGGCCTCTGCCTCTGTGACTGCCCAGGCCTGGTGATGCCATCCTTTGTCTCCACCAAGGCAGAGATGATTTGCAATGGAATCCTACCGATAGACCAGATGAGAGACCACGTCCCATCTGTGTCACTAATATCCTTTCTGCTTCAGAAAGAATGTGGTTGTTATGTGTCCATTAGGGCTTCAGGTTTGATTTGGACATTGCTTTGCAGCAGCATTTATTAGATTTGGGTCTGATACCTTCCAAATGGAGAAGCTAAAATACTAGTGATGCAAGTTTTCACGATGAGATAGCATCAGGACTTGAAAATTAGAACTTCATCTCCTGATTTCATCCGGGTGTAAAACTGGAAGAGCCCGGGCTTTGGATTCGCAGCCTGAATTTCCAGCCTACTTGATACTGTGACAGCACTATTGACTGTTTGACTTTGGAAAATTTGCTTAACCTTCCAGAGACTCTTTCTTAATAAAATGGGGATAATACCTACCTCACAGTTAATTATGAGGATTTAATAATTATAGCTAACGTTTCCTAAAGGAAACAGCTATATGCCAGCTACCTTTCTAAAGACTTAACAGATATTATGTAATTCTCAGAACCACCCATGAGGCAGATACTGCTGTTATTCTCATTTCTTTATACTTAAGGAAACTGAGGCACAGAGAAGTTAAGTAATTTGCCCGAGATCTCATAGCTAGGAAGTGGTAGATAAGGAGCTCCGCCACCTCTCAGCAGCATAAAGAGTTAGCCTATGGGAAGCATCTAGGATAGTGCCTGCTATGAAATAAGTACTCAAAGATAGGTCTGTTAAGACCTGTGCAGGTTCTGAGGTTATACCCTACTTCACAAGCTAACAAGGAGCCCTGGTGGCGCAGTGGTTAAGCACTGGGCTGCTAACCAAAAGGTCGGCTGTTCTGCTTCCATAAAGATTACCACCTTGGAAACCCTATGGGGCAGTTCTGCTGTGTCCTGTAAGGTCACTACGAGTCGGAATTGACTCAAAGGCAGTGAGTTTTACAAGCCAACAAGTTATTTCGTTACTGTTTCATGAATACTGGCAGAAGATGGGAGACTACATGAAACTGTGGCCGACTAATTTGATAGCTTGTACGTAGGGTGAAATTCCACATCCTTCACAGTTCTTGACAAGATCCTTAATGACTACATTTAGGGCCACGGCTTTTTGTTTTCCCCAGTTTCTATTTTTGTATGAGAAATAATAAGAATTACAAGCAGTCCCTGGGTTACGAATGTCCGACTTGCATACAACCCATAGTTACAAACCAACCCCCACAAAGCCTATTAAAAATCTGAGGTACATACAATAGTTCGTAGTAACAGACAGGTGCTACTTTGCACTGTGCATCAAAACATTATTAGTATTATTACTGTGTTATTACATTAAAGATGTTTTAGCGTATCTGGAAGTGTTTCTTTAATGTTTTCTATGCATAGAAAGGTACACTATATACTAAGACAAACATTTGACTAACATTAGCTATGAACCATACCTGTTCCGACTTAACGTACAAATTAAACTTAAAGACAGATTTAGGAACAGAAATCTTTTGTAATCAGGGGACTGCCTGTACTTTATCCAGGATAAATAAAATGTGATATAGACATATGTATAAATGGGATACTGTCGGTTGTTAGATTTACCTGGGTGAATCTCAAAACATCATACATAGACAGCATGGCACTATTTTTGTAAACAGTGTTATCTCACAAAACAGTACAGTGTATCCATAGATACGCTGTGTGCCTGTGCACATTTGTATATAAAAATATGAAAAGTGGGCTAAAGGATACACCACTAAAACCATGCTTGCTCTGGGTGAGGGTAGGGGCTGGAATAATGTTTCAAAATTTTTTAATTTTTAATATAATTTTAATAGTCAAAATATTGTTATTCTTGATCATTGGAAACACAGGTGTCTTTCGTGCTTTTTTGTGTTTTTAAGTTTCTTGGTAAATTAATAAGCAAACATGTATTGAGCACTTGCATGCCAGGTGCTGGGTTAAGTACTGTGGAGAAGGCAGGCATAAGTCAGCCACAGATGCTGCCTCTAAGGAGCGTTCAGTCTGGGGGACACGAGGCATGTACATAGATAACTGATACAAGGTAGAACGCTGTAAGTGGCTTAAGAAAAAAGTACAGATAGATGCTGATGAGACCGGAAGGGAAAAGATAATCTGTCCTTGGATAGTTGTCGGGATTAGAAGTAAAGGCTGCCTCTGAGGTAGGGTCACATCACAGATTTATAGTTTACTTAGAATCTTACTTTTCAAGGTAAAAAACTGTTATTTTCAAGTTGTATTTCACAGATTATTTTGATTATTAAAAGGAGTCAACTGGAAGTGGTTATTGGTTCCTAAGACTTAGTTTAAAAGAAGCAGAGTCTTTTTAACTTAATGAATAATTACTCTTCCGATGGAAAAACTAATCATTAACTTTATATGGAAAGGGAAGAAGCCC